GCAAATTGCCCAGCCCCTCGCCCAGCTCGCAGCAGATGCCCCCTAAAGGCCTACTGTTCCTCGCCTGGACTGCTCTGCCCGGGTGGGACCCGTGGTCCTGCAGGCCCCTGCAGGAGGAAGCAAGCTGGCTCATAGTCAGAGCGGGGGGCTGGATGCCAAAGACCCTGGGCCCACCCTGTCCCTCCCTCCCTCTGGCCCCTGGAGCCCCATCTGCAAACAGACGTCCTGACTCTGGCTCCACCACAGTGGCGGCCCCTGGGGAGCTGGGGCACAGCCACATATCTGAGGACAGAAGAGACCTGTCCTGTTCTCTCTGCACGCTGACCTCCAGGCAGAGGCACCAAGACTTGGAGCAAACAACTCAGAGTGGGCACTCCCCACCTGTCACGGGGGGCCACCAGGGCACCCTGGCTCAAGAGGGAGTTGTGAAGAGCTACGGGGCCGGGACCACTGTTCCCAGGGGTGGGAAACGGGAAGAGGCTCCTGGCTTAGGTCAGCAAAGCCCACGGGAAGCCTTCCTCACACCCAGCCCCCGGCCTTACCTGGGGACCGGCTGGAGGCTCTGGAGGCTGAGCGTTCCCGTGACTTGTAGGGGTACTTGAGCGTGGTGTCCAGTTGCTTGAAGCTCTCTTTGAGCGAGTGGCACTGGTAGTACTCAACTAACTCCTGCAGGATGCACACACTCATTGACCGCTGCCACCGCCTCCAGGTGCCCTGCCCTCCCTCTCCCACCTCCTCAGGTTCACACCCGGGGGACTAATCTCCTTGACCACTAAGGACTACCCTTCCTCCTCTCCCTGCCACCAGCACCCAGACCAGGGGTGGGTGGTCAGTATCACGAAGGCCTCTGATCCTGAAATTTCTCTCCCAAACATTTCTAAAAAGAAATCAGGAAAGAATGCTGAGATAGATGGACACAGATGCTCCCTGCAGCACACTTGACAATGGAGGAAAACTGGAAACCCCTACACATCCAACGCCAGGGCAGTGCTTCTAGGAATCCCAGCGTATCCACGTGCCCGAACGCCAGGCGGCTGCAGCAGGAGCAAGAAGAGAACCTCCTCACTGATGTCGAGAAGTAGACTGAGCCTTGGGTCCAGCACGGCCGTGGCTTGGTTTGAGAAGGGAACATATAAGCCACCCCCAGGCTGCACTCAGAGGTGGCGAGGACTCGCCCTGAGATGAGGACACTGGGTCTGGGGGGGACTGTGGGCACTTCCTTTCACTGTGCGCTCTTCTGTGGCCACTGCGGGGCGTCTGAGAGCTTACATGCTCTAGTCCCATGGGCTCACGTGTAATTAGGCAAAGACACACTTTAAGATCATCTTAAGAAGAACAACGCCTTTAAGAGCTTTCTGGCTGGGCTGGGACAGTGGCAGGTGGGCACTGGAAGCCACGGATGTGCGAGGTTGGCTGGCAGCCAGGCCCTGGATGGAGCCTCCTTGGGCCTCAGTTTCTGGTTCTGACAGAAGGTTCGGGTGAACGCGCTGGGGTGCTGGTGGCCCTCACTGTCCTCCATGGGACTTGGGGGATGAAGTCCTGACGTGGGGGGCAGTAAGGAGGCCCTAGCTGTTCCCAGGTGCCTTCCAGACCAGTTTCCCTGGACCCTTCCCACACTGCGCCCCAGCCCAGGGGTGCGGGACTCCCCCCTGCAAGGCCAGCCTGCAGGCACGGCTGCGGTGGGAGGCGTGGGTCCTCCTTTCGCCCTCAGGGCCAGGCCACGGGAGACCCGGGGTCACCTACCAAGAGGCTTTCGAATTTCTTGGCTTCAGTGATGTGCACCCAGCTGTCCTTCTCCACCACCTTAATGTGCTTCACCTCCTCGTTGAACCTGGGCCAAGCGCACGGCGGCGCGGTTCAGAACGGCACTGGGGGAGGGTCTCCCTGACCCCCCGCCCCCAGCCTCCACATACTTGATGCTAATGGCAAAGCGCTCCGCCTCGGCCGGCCGCTCCCTGATTAGGTAGGTCCCGCTGGCGTGGGATTTGAGCAGGTTGTCGGTCTGCTGCCTCTCCATGTTGCCGGCAAACCTGGAGCAGAGGAACGGGGCCTGCTCACAGACACGGCCTCAAGGGCACCCCGCCCGGGCCACAGCCCCGCCCCGCGGAAGAGCCAGCTGCGACACGAGGCCACGCCCCCAGGAGGCGGGGCGAGCGGGGCCGGGCACCCGCGCGCACGCGCAAGCCCGCAAGGAGGAAGACGGCTGGGGAGAGGTGAGGACCCCAGACCTCGGCCGGTTCCCTAGGGCCTCCGCCCTCCAGAACCCTGGGCCTGCAAGAGGCATTCAGCGTAACAGACGTTACATCAGGCCTCTTCTGCAAGTTTTCACTACTTAAAAAGCAGCGAATAGAAACGCCGCCTGTGGGGTTTTGTTCTGTGTCGCAACACACGGGAGACCACCACCATCTCCGTCAGTGAGTTCCGGGTGGGCTGACGCGACGCTTTTCTTCCAGCTCTATGGGAGTGAAGCCCACCCCCACCCTTGCCTCGGGAACAAAGCGTGTCCCCATTTGCTACTCCCTGCCAGGCTGAACTGGGACTTTTGCAAACAGATGCATCCCAGAGTTCTGAGCTGAGCGTTACCCCATCAAGTGAGAGTCCCAGGTCAGCCCTCCGCCCTCCGCATTAGACCCAAGTGCAGAGTGAGCGACGCACTGAACACATCTGTGGGTCACAGACATGCACGGGGCTGAGCCTCAGTGCCAGGGAGGCCGGGGACACTGAGGCTGCAGGCACATTTCACTGCTGGGCACAGGGGTCCCGGAGTGGCTTCAGGGATGAACCCCAAACCGAAAACCATGAGGGGAGACCTTCCTTGGGTGAGGGGCCCACTGCTCTGGGGCCGCCGCGGGGCGCATTTCTACAGGGAGCCGCGGGCACTGCGGGCAGTCATTTCCAGGCAGCCGGTGAGCCCGCGGCCAACCAGCATCCGAGACTCACACCCAGCACGTCCACTGTCATGTTTTACTAATCAAACAGCCCCCTGCTCTCAACAAGCTCTGTGTGCGTAAATACGCAATTATCATTTTGGCCTTAAATACACCTCCTCGTATATTTTATACGATGAAGCGCAAGTAAGATCCCGTTAAAAAGGGGCTTCATTCTCCCAGATGTTCGAACCTGATGATCTGTTTATCTATGCGGAAACAGGTGCCTCGGGGTAGAAAAGATTTCCCCCAGGCTCCCAGGGATTCAGAGCGAGGAGGGGAGAAGGGGGCTGTGCAAAGCGAGGCTCAACCTTGGAGACAGCCTGCCCAGGGCCTTGGAGGGAACACATCCCCACAACGAAGGGGCCCCGCTGGCCCACTCACCAGGGGTACGCGGTGTAGTCGATCTCCCGGGAGGGCGGCCGGCTGATGGGCGGCTGGCAGGAGAGAACGCTCGGGTTAATGTCTCTCCAGGGGCTGTCCACAGGGTGGGGACCTGCGGCATCTTGTCATCGGTGGCCCGACCCTGGGGCCCAGCGCTGGCTACCAGGATTTCTGTGGACTCAGGCCCAGAGCCACTGGAGTGGGAGGTCCCTGAGGGCAGCAGCTGGGACTCACCATCTCTGTGTAGATGCTCAGTGGGTTTGATTGATTGAATGAAGGACGGAAGGAATGAGAGAATGAACGAATAGCATCCAACTAACAGTGCACTTCATCCCCAGGGAGGGGAGCGGCCTGAAGCCTGCTGGGACCTCAGCAGTGGACAGGAGCACGTCCCACAGCTCGAGTTCCCTGCTGCCTGCCGCCCCGAGGACCGGCACTGGGCGGCTTGGCCTGCAGGTGGAAGGCCACGTGTGCAGGCAAGCCTTGGAGCCCTCCAGACCCCACGCTGGGCCTCGCCGGCCAGCGCCCCCATCGTGGCCTCCCCTCACTGGGCCCCAGGCTGGGTAAAGCCTTGCGGACTACTCCCCACCCCATTCACCGTGCAGACGGGGAAGCAGGCCCAGGGCAGAGCACCTGCCAGCCTACCCCGTGAGTCAGTGACACTCTTCCTCCTCTGCTGTTGGTCCCCTTGACCTGTCTGCAAAGCCTGTCCAAAACGCTTTCTCCTTCAACTGGGCCGCGGGGCCAGAGGCCGGGCAGGGCCCGGTGGGCGGAGCCGGGCTGCCTGGGGTCAGGCACCCGCCCCTGCCCCTTCGGGAGAAGTCTCACTGCCTTACTTTGAGCTGCCTTTCCTCTTGGGGCGCAGGGCTGGGGGCGCAGCACATTCAAGGCTGACGGCCTGGTGCCTTTTCTAACAGGAGTTACTTGCTCTGCAGCACCTGGACGGAAGGGACGCCATACTGCCTTTTTCCCAAATGTCCTAACATCTAGCCCGGATCCTTGTTTGGAATATAAATGATCCTGAGATTCGGAGAAAGGCAGCTGGGTTTTGCTCCGTCATACCTGCTACAGAGATGCCCTTTTAGTTTTTAAAACCACGATGAATTATGACAACTCACTGGCCGGGTTCTCCCCACAGGAGGGCACCCCTGCACCTTGGCCCCCCACCCATCTCCTCTCTGGGCAGGGGACCCCCTCGCAGCTCCGGGGCCAGCTCCCAGCGGCCTGAACAAGTCCAGGACGTCCCAAGTGAGGAGACAGCTCTCAGCACCCACGACACCCTGGCCTCCGTGTCCAGAAGCTTCTGCGGGAAGCACTCACCTTTCCATCCACGGGACAGGGCTTCACAGATGAGCTCGGGAAGTAACCTGACTTCCTGGTTTGCACCAGCCGACCCTGGAAGGGGACAGATGATCAGGGCCAGCGGGACCTGGCCTGGCCCGTGGCGGGGCGAGGAGCAGGGTTTTTGTTAGCACTCAGCTTCTCCTAAGGAGGACAAGGGGTGTTCCTGACAAGCCTGTCACAGCATCATGGCCCTGCTGTGACCTCAGCTGACCTCACAACCATTTTGGGCAGGAAGGTGAGGGGCGTCCCCACTTCACAGATAAGGACACTGAGGCCCAGAGAAGGTGCACGACTTGCTTGGCACTGGGACCGAGACCCATCTCCGGCCAGGCCTTTTCTCTTAACCACACCAGCCCTGCCCAAGCCATGAGGGGCGCGTGGACGGGGGGTCAGCAAAACGCAGTGCGGCCTCGGAGGGTCTGGGGGCGGCTGCTTCATATCCCTGTTCCCTCTGCCTGGAAGACCCTCCCCCTCAGCCCCCTATGTTCACATCGGCAAAGCGTCTCTGCAAGGCCACCCAAACCTGATGGCCCTGGTCACACTTGGGGAGGGGAACTTGGTGGTTGGGGTCAGCGTGGGACAGGCGTGGTACCACAGAGGCCTTCTCAGCTCCCAAATCTCCCGTTATGAGGCACAGTCTAGCACAGTAAGTTCATAAGTAAACATGTAGTGACAAGGCCCGCCACGCAACAACAATGACAACAGTGACAGCACCCGGGCCAGCTCCCGGCACCGGCGTCGGCCCCGAGCAGGGCAGCCCTGGTCGCCCAGGCCAGGTAAGCGCCCCGGGCTCCCATGGCACCGTGCAGACCCGCGGGGGCCTCAGGCTCCCTGGAGCTCCGGCACCTGGGAGAGGGGCGGTGCTGATGGCTCCACTTTATTGGGCCTCACACCCAGAACAGTAGGTGTCACGGCTCAGAACCGTAAACCACCACGCGGACCTGTCTGAGTCCACGTTTGTCCCCTGCACCAGATGGGCTCCTAGGGGAGGGCGCTGGGGGTTCTCGGCCATGGTGCCAAGCATGGTGATGCTGGCCTGAGCTGGGGTGGGGTGTGAGCCGGGAGGGTGTGGCGTGGCCTGGGTGGAGCCTTGGGGATGGTGTGCAGGACCCAGCGAAGGCAGGAGGCAAACCGTGGGGAAGGGGCTTGGACACCAGGAGGAGGGCCTCTCCCTACCCCGTCCAAGCAAACACCCCGAGGCCTCCGGCCTTGCTGACAGCCCACGCCTCTCCACCCCGGTGGTCTTATGCCCCAAACCGGCCCCTGCCCGGGGGAGTGGGGAAGCAGAGGGGGCAGGGGGGGGACCCCAACCCTTCCAGGCCCAGTACCCACCTCCCACCACTGAGACTCGAGGTCCCCTCTCAGCAGCTCGATCACGTCGCCCGTCTGGAAGGTCAGGGCCGGCTTGCCTGGGGGAGCGGGGTTGCCGTGGTAATTCTGCACGGCCACCATCTTGGGACCTGCAGACGACAGGGCCAGAGGGATGTGGTGGTGACTCTGTCCTCGTGGCAGCCCACCCAAGGCTGGCCTTGGCCCCCGCGGCCTTCTCAGGGCTCCTGGACGAGTGGGCGGGGCCTGTACCGCCCCTCCCTACCTTCTTCCCACAAGACTCACACGTCCCTTAGTTAAATGTCAGAAGTAAACTATTTATGTGATTAACACATTCAGCGTCTCGTTTTGGTAAACAGCAGTCTAGTTTTAAACAGCACCCTGTGTGTTTCCACCTAGACGCCTTTCAGATCCGTGACTGGGGGTCAGCCACGCGGAGCGGAGACGGGCAACCCCTCCTGTCAGAGGCGCGGGCTGGGCTCAGCGACTTGCCAAGGGGCAGCTCTGGGTGGACCTGGGGACCCAGCCGAGCGCCCCGAGAACCTGCAGCCGCCCCTGGACCGAGCCCTGCTCTGAGCGGCCCCGCCCCGCGTGGGCCCGCGCCTGTCAGGGCTGGTCGCCCCGGCAGCAGCAACAGCTGCTTTGTGTGGTGTCTGTGTCCGTGAGTAGCTTAGACTCTGTCCAGCAGTGCTCGGGCCGTGTGACACACGAGGCTTCTGGCTCTCGGCACTCCCAGGCCCCGCTCCTACTGCAGAGCAAGGGGGACTCAAGGGGACAGAGACAATGGCGAGGTGACACTAGCAGCGTCCTGATGTCTGGACTCTGCTCGGGGTCTCTGGCTGCAGCTCAGGGCCTCTCCTGGGCTAGAGGGACCCTGACCCCTGCAGGCTGGGCCCGGTCCCCACACCCGGCACTGCACCATCAGAAACTAAGAAGGCTCCGGGGGCGGCGGCCGCGGAGGAGATGGGGTCAGAGGGCGGCACACACCCGGGGAGCCTGGAGCGCAGAGCACTGGGCAAAGCTGACGGCCACTCTGGCCAGGCCCAGGCTCGGCTCCTGGGGGACGTGGACACGGACAATAGCAGAGGAGGCCCAAGTCCCGCAGACTCACCTGGTCCTGCTCCAGAGGCGTCCTGTGAGGACAAGGACAGAGGACAGTGAGGAGGGAAGGCTGCCAGAGCATCGACACTCCCTTCCCCCCACACCCCAGGCAGAAGGGTCAAGGCAGGAAGCGGGGAGGAGACGGACACGTACTGGACACTCACAGGCATATGTGACCCTCTTTCCCTGTGTGACAACCTTTTCCCCATGTGACACTATTCCTACCTATGCCCTCTGCCCTTGGGCCCCTCCGCAGTGCTGGGACTTCCCTCCCCTTCCCCATCCTATCCCTCACCATTAACTCCCACCTCCTCCAGGAAGCCTGCCCTGACTACCCCAGCCGAAGGCCTCCCTGCCTGGGGCTTGTCGTCTGTCTGGGACATGTCCTGCTGCCTGCACTAAATTCTGCCCTCCCTCCTCCACGAGGGCATCTCTGTGCCCCATATAGGGCTTAGCAGGAGCCCTTTAAGTGCTGGTTAATTTGACAGGACCCCACAGCTAAGGGACATGGCATCCACACCCTACAGGTGAATTCAGGGACTGCAACCCCAAGTCAGCCAAAGAGAGGGCTCAAAGCCAAATCAGGATGGGGGCGGGGGGCGGTTGCAGGCAGAACTGGACAGCCGGGCAGGGAGACCGCCATCAGGGCCCAGGAGGCCGTGCACGGGGACCCATGTCTGCTGATGTCCATGAAGGAAAACAAAGGCCCCTCGCAACCCCCAGGGGCCCTGCCAGCCCGCCTGGCCCCGGAGCGTGAGGGCCAGAAGGGTTGAGTCTTTCTGGCTCCAGGCACAGGGCTGCACAGGCTGCAGGGCAGTGGGAAGGGAGCGGTCTGGCGGACTCACCAGGTCTGCAGGAGAACCTGAAAAGGAAGCACATCCGGGTCAGAGGGCAAGCGGCCAACACCGAGGACTGGGGGCCTATCACCCGCAAGGCAGGCGCCGAGGGGTGTGCCTGGGTGTGGGAGTGAAGGGAGCTTCAAGGCCCTTCGTTTCAGACACAGGTTGTAGACAAGTTTGGCAGGTGACCACCACATGACCACGATGTCCCTCAATGACTTCTGAGGGGAAACCCCGAGCTCTGGGGGCCCACGGGAGAACGCAGACCAAGTATCAGACCCAATGGAAAATCAGTTTTCCTGCATGAGCCAGCTCTGCTCCAACAGCCTGATCCTGGGTGGAACCTGGGCTCAAAGGGAGGATTTCCGTAATTGATTAGTGATGCCTGCCGTGGGCAAGGGACAGGAGGTGTCAGTAGGCATGCTACCCTGTTTTCCAGCATGCTCACTCACGGACACGCAGCACCTCAGCTCATCAGATGGAAGGCAGGCTTTCCAAAGATTCTTTCCACCTGCCCTGGGGTGACCCCAGGGGAGGACACAGTGCCAGGGAGGGCCCCAGCCATCTGACAAGCGGACTGCCACTTCACCACCGGACAAAGCCAGCACCACAACGTGTGGCTGATGTGACTTCAACACCATCTAACACTCAGAGTCGCAGACAGACCCAGCAGACAGAGGTGCCAGGTGTCGGGCATTGGGCGGGGAGGGTCAGGCCGAGCAGCTGGTGCCCACAGGGAAGGCAACAGTGAGGCTCAGCCCTGACAAGGGCCTCCCCGGGAGAGGGGCTCTGGGAGCAGCCGGCATCTCCCTGGGACATCCTGGCTCTGGGGGCAGCAAATGGTTAAATGGGCCCTGGCATGGGTTGCTGGCACAGTCCCGAGGTGGAGCTGACGAGGCGGGAATGCCGCCTGAGCCCAGAATGAAAGATAAGAGTGTGGATCGGAGAGGAAGCAGCCTGGGCTCTGCCGAGGGAGAAACCAGGAGTGGCCGGGGCGGGGCAGGTCCCCCCCAGAGCAGCAAAGAAGGGAGTCACGCATATGCCCTTGGGGGAACCACGGGCGCCTTAAAATAAAACCAGGTGCCCAGCAAGGGCTGTCAGTGACACGGGGAGGAAGCCGATAACTTCAGCTTTCAAAAGATACACGACTGCCTATCTGGTAAGGCCCCAACTATAGGTATCATGAAAACACACAAACATAAAAAAAGATCGTGGGCGGGCGGGGGGGGGCGCGTGCATTTGCAAAAAAGGCTGAATGCAGGTGACGGCTAGCGGGGGTTGTTTTTGCCTGCTGCCATCATACGTCGATTTTATCTCTTGCTTTACCTTTCTCTATACTTGCTACGGAAAATGGGTACTTAGTAATCCCATTAAACAAGATCAAAAAGACTGTTTAAAAATAAGAACACCTGACAAGAACTACACCAAAATGGCACCTTTGGTTATTTCTTGGTACGTTCACAAGTGCTCGTTATTTTCTTCTTTATTTCTTCTCTCTCTTCTTCTCGTTTTTTGATAAATAAGTATGTGACTTTTAAAATCAGGGGAAAAAAATGCCAAGAGAAAGGCACTGTCCAGTTCCCTTGTGCAAAGGACACGTGGCCACCAGAGGGCAGTGTCCACGGGCAAAGCTGGAGAGCCGTGTTGGGCCGGTGGGCGTGTATAGCATCCTCCACCCCGGAGGAGACGGCGCGGTTGCTGGATCTCCACTCGGCCGGAGTGGCCTGAGGTGGGGCCCAGGGGGTCTGGGCTGACCCGCTGGACCCTCCCGGATCAGGGCGCTGGGCCCGCAGTCACGGTAAGGGAGGAACCGACAGACTCCTACTCTGGGAGGTGGTGCCCTGGGTGACAAGCAGGCCTGACGTCTCCCCGTCCACCTGGAGCATGTCAAGCCCTCAGTGAGTGCAGCTTCCCCGAGTGTGGACAGAGGCAGCACAGCAGCATCTCACGGGGAGCCGGGCCGACCCCCCGCAGTTGCCCCGTCCAGCCGGCTGGTGCCCCCAGGATGAAGCCACGGTGCCCGCGCCTCGCCAGACCCAGGGCTCAGCCAGCCCCTGACTGCAGCAGCTCTGAAACCTTTCAGAACCATCTCAGACCTTCTGGCTGCCGGTCCAGCCGCCCTAGGCTGGGCACCCACCCCCAACTCATCCCCCAAACCAAGACAATGCAGAGGGGTGTTGGCGCCGGCGAGGCAGGCAGGCTCAAGTCCCTTCCCCTCCCCGAGCTCAAGCACATGGGTGCTCGTGGCTGCAGCTAAACAGGGCGGGGCCTCTCCAGGTGCAGGAGAATCCCAGGGTGAGGTGTTTCTCTGGGATCAGAAATCACCATGCAACCGCCAAGAAGGCTCTGTGCCCTCTGCGCGGGGGGAGACTCTAGAGGCTTATGGCTGGAGTGGGGCAGGGGGTGCAGAAGAGGCAGCAAGGATCGAAGTTAGGAGGACTTTGGCATAAAGTCCCCACACCTCCCACCCAGGCTGGGTCTTTTGAAACTGTGTGACCCGGGACAGGTGTCTGCCCCACTCTGGGCCTCACTGTCCCCATCTGGTCTCTGCCCCTTGGGGTCACGATGGGAGAAAGGAGAATGTAGGAATGCCGCCATGGCTGGCAGCTGGGAGGGATGGGACCCTCAGCTCAGGACCCGCCCCTGGGCGCAGGTTCCATGGGCAGGGTTGGGGCTGGTACTCACTGCTCTTGCAGGGGGGGGTCACTTCCAGGCACTCCTTGTGTGCCCCGACGCCACACTTGGTGCACAGGTAACCCTGGTAGAAGGTGCCTCTGCACCGGGGGGGAGGGGGCAGGTGAGGCAGACCGCCAGACCTGCCCTGCATCCTGCCCCACAGACCACCCACTCCCCGAAGCCTTGGTCCCCCAGCACCCCTGCCCTAATGCGCAGCCTGGTGCTGGCTCTCCCCTCCAACAGTCCCCGGTCTGGCTTTGCGGCCCCACACAGGGGTTCCTGGGCACCCACAGGGACAGTCACCTCCTCTCCCGGCCAGATCCCAAACACCTGGGGGCTGGCTGGGTCCCACAGCAAGGGGATGTTTCCCCAGGTCCTTGGGGCCCAGCACGGCACTGGCCTGGGCGGTCAGCGGCGACGGGGACGCAGGACAGCCGCAGAGCTGGGCTCCCGCGGGGGCCGGGAGGTGGGAGTGGGTGGGGGTGGGGCAGGAGGCCCGCACCTGAGGAACATCCTGCAGGCTTTGCAGTTGGTGGTCCTGTCGAACGTGTACATCTGGAAGCTGTGCTGGTTGGCGTTGGCTTTGTCGGGCTTGATGTTCGACCTGACGGGGGGAAGCAGATGCCAGGTTCCCTGAGCCCCAAGAAAACAGCGAGCCAGCAGAACGGGCGGGGCCGGGGATCGGGGGGGCAGGACGCAGAGCCTGGGTCTGCCCCGGCTCCCGGGCAGACCCGGGGGGGGCCCTGACACCCCGATGGGATGAGGGCCCAAAGGGGGCTGGAACATGAACCTGCACTGCCATTCGAGAACCTTCCGGGGGGACGGTAACAGGCTACGTCTGGCTGGGCTTGGTATGGGCGGATGCAAGCGCTTGTCAAGAGAGCAAACTGCACTTAGAATTTCAGTCCGCAAGCTTGAAATGTTAGCATCCGAACAAATCATGAGCTGGAGTTCCCCCTGCAGGGCACCCCGCAAGCCAGGGGATGGGCACCGATGTCTGCGAGGCGCTGAGGCACGTCCGCTAGCAGGTGGCGCAAGGGCTGGGGACGGCGCGTGACAAAGGGCAGCACAAGGTGGGCGCTGACTGTAACATTCTTTCAGCTTGGTAAACACCTGACAAATTTCATAATAGAATCTTCGGGAGGAAACTCCAATCCTGGCCCACCGCCAGGCCGCCACCCATTCTGATGGATCCCAGACGTGACCTCCAGCAGCCCCCTGACCTGCCCCCCTTTCACCTCCATTTCCCCAGGAGGAAAACGCCAGGGAGGTGCAGGCACCTGCCCAGCGGCCCCAGGACCCTGCCGCTCTGGCTTCAAGCTCTGATGTGTCTGGGGACCCCGGTGGTCACCCTTCTCTGCTGGACACACTGGGGCTCCTCCTACATGGCACGGACAAACAACTCTGAGGCTTTCCCCAGAAAGTGACAGTCCACCAGCCCGTAAGGCCCCGAGGGTCCAGGTCATCACAGGTCCACCTGGCACCACGGCCATTCCTGGCCACCCACTGCTCTGCCAGTTAGCTGAGTGAGGCTCAGCCCCAGGGGCAGGGGACGGCTGAGCCTGCCTGGGACAGGCTGTGGCAGATCAAAGAGGAAACCCCCGGGTGGGGCTGGCGTCACGGGGCGGTGAAGACAGGCTTGGTCTCCGGTGATCTGAACCACCTCTTGTCTGAGAGGCTCCCTGGGCAAAACCCATGCAGGGCACCCACCCCCCGTAGCGCTGCCACCCTCAGACTCACATGGCCATCTCAAACTGCTCCATCCACTTCCTCTTCATGTCTTCCGTCTTGCAGAAAAACTGGAAGCCCTGCTTTCCTTGAAGGTGAATTAGATAGAAGCCATAGGACCACTGCAGGAGGAAATGGGACACGCTGGCCACAGGCACGGCTTCTGGCACGTGGACACGTGGACACACACAGTCGTGCTGGGGCCTGTGCACGCACATGTCTGTGCACGTAGTCACGCGTGTGTGCACGTGCACTGTATGTGTGTGTACTCGTGCCTGCGTGTGCACACGTGCCTGTGCGTGCATGTATGCACGTGTAGGCACCCCCTCTACCAGCACGTCCCGGGACCACCCCCGCCGAGGTGTGTCCTCAGCGGAGGTCTCTGCTGGTGCCGCCAGGGCCACCTCTCGTGATCCGTGCTCGGGAGCTCACCGGGGCCCTTCCAGGACGCCGGCCCACCCACTTTCACTTCCTAAATGTGTTGCCAAAAACCTCACTGGTCTCAGGTAGGATGACAGGAGGAAAAAAAACAAAAAAAAACAGGAAGAGAAGACCATGGCCCGGGGGAACCGCAGCGAAGCCGGCCCAGCTGCCCCACCGCTCAGCCACCACCAGGCCTGGCCGTCTCCCGGGGCTTCCCAGGGGGCCCAGAAAGAAGAGTTCGGAAAGTCTGAGCCACTTTGTGTTGGAAGTGATGGAGGGAAAAAGGATGAGAGGGAGGGAGGGAGGGAAGAAGAGAAGACAAAGGATGCAGAGCGAGAACAGACCAACCCTGCTGGCTAGGAAACCACCCAGATCCTTCACCCCGGGACTGGGAGCGGGAGCAGCAGGAGGGAGGGCGGGCCCTCACGCCACTCCCCTCCGCAGTGGGCGAGTCTTGTTATCGCGAACATGTGTCGCATCGTAATTCAGACACTGAGGGAAGGACGGAGGAGGAGGAGGAAGAGGGTCACCAGCCCGGCTCAGGAGGCGAGGAGGAGGCGGCGAGGACAAGGGCGCGAGGCGCTTACCATTTTCCCATGAGACTAGGAAGCATGAGGAGAGGAAAGGAAAAGGGGAGACGTGGTCACCCAGGGGCCTGGCCCAGCCTGCGGTGGGTCCTGCAGTCCAGGGTACCGCCCACTGCCAAGTGCCCCAGCATGGGGCGGCAGGGCCAGGGCCCTCCTCCAAGAGGGCCAGCTGCCAGGGGCTGAACTCGGAAGGCGCGCTGTGCATTTGGCCCCCGCCTGGGAAGTGGCCTCAGGTCATGCCCCAGGGGCCCTCGTGGCTTGTTCTGAACATGAAGGTCAGGTGGGGCACCCCTAGTAGCTCTTCCAGGTGATACCTGCATTCTACCTGTACGCGCGGAGTCCAGGGTCTGAGATTTTTAGCACATTGGTTCCTGGCCCCCACACCTAGCCCAGGGCTGCACACAGTAGGTGCTCAAGCACTATGTGCAGAAGTCTCTGCAGGAGCAGGGCTGAACAGGAGAGCACGGAGGCTCACCCACAGCAGCCACGGCCCCACCCCCAGTACTCACGGCCCCAGAGGCCACAGCCCACTGGCTGGACATGGAAGTCTGACAAGCTGCAGCAAGGCTCACCCAGAGCCCTCCTTCAAACCTGGGGAGCAGCGGGAAGGTCTGCTTGCTGCAGGGGCGCCCGTGGGCTGGAGTCAGCTCCAAGGCCGCTCAGGCCCGGCCCTCACCAGAGACCTTGGGCCGGCCCCTCGACCTGGCCGCCTCAATGGGGAGCTGTGACCCGGACCCCCTCCCCCGGGAAGGCTCAGACAAGGGCCAGG